GGATCTGGGAAACGCATAAAAGCGATAATGCTTGCTTCAAAAAGAGTGTCTGCTTTGCACAGTTCTACCGAACTTCAGCCAAAGAAGTTGTGAGCCTGACATAATCTTATAGTGACTATAGTAATGAATCACCTTGCTACTTTTTACTAAGAAAATGAGATAAACAAGCACGGATCACGAGATGATCGGCAAAATTCGAACATTCGCACCTCATCGAAGCCAATTTGCGTGAGCGTATTGATCATGATTTGACGTCGCTCCTCATCCTCACTGCTGTTATTGTTTGGCAGACAAAAAGGCGACGGCAATGCTGCTGATTCTGCATTACCGGCTTGCTCGAATGGCCTCAGCGAATCTCGGATTTGTTCCAATTTATCACGATGTCGACCAACGCCAACACGCACATCCTGAACTGCTGCACAGTTAACGGATCTGATAAAATTGGCTCATAATCGGATACGAAGTTAAGTAATTCAGCCGGCAAGCCAACTGTTTTTTTTTTTGTTTCTGAATCAACAATACACAAGTATGTCGAGAAGCCCGAAATATGGAGAGGGATAATAATGGGAGAGCGGATCAAGATAAGCGCTTATCTGATAAAAGTCAGTAAAATCCATATTCTGCTGCTGGAAGGCGCTCTTGATGAGTGTGGCTTTTTTTTGCATTTATACTAAAACTTAAGTCAGTTTGTGGATTCCTGAGTGATTTGTCTTGGCACTTCAGCTTGAAAATACAGCGGCCAATCCCGAATGCGATCATATGCTACGAAACTGTGGACTTGAAATCAACCTTCACTTCTTACGTGTCCTTATGAATTCCAAGTCCAAACTGGGTCAGTGTTATAGACAAAGAAGCAAGAAAGACTACTGAAGGGCCAAATTCATCAAACGATTCGAAGAAAGAAATGTGAAATAGTAAGGACAGAAAAGGACAGTGATGTGATAAAATGAATAATTGGCTAACGCACGAGCTGCCCGTGCGAAGATGTGTTTTTTGCATAGCTCCCCGCAGATTTTTGTCGCTAACGGCACTGTTTTTTTAGGCAGATGCTTCAAGAATTTCAGACTAGCCGCCAGGACTGTCAGGAAACATCTCTTCAAAATTCCAGTCTTCTAGCTTCTCAGGTTTCCGAATTAGCAACTTACCCGAAAAAAGCTTTCACAGGCTCATACGTGGGAATGACTCATACCCGGGGGCTAGGTTTGAGCTCATTAATACCTGCGTGAATGGGGAATACTCCCCTAAAATTACAGTCTTCTAACTTTTCAGGTTCACGAGTTAGCGAAGTACCCGAAAAAAACTTTCATGGGCTCGTACGTGGGTACCACGCATGCCCGGTGCCTGGGTTTGAGCTCACTGAGACTTACATGGACAGGAAACATATTCTTAAAATTACAGCCTTCTAACTTTTCAATTTCCCAAGTTTGCAGCTAACCCGAAAAAAAAACTTCGCGGACCCCTATGTGGGTACCACGCAAACCCGGTGTCTGGGTTTGAGCTCATTGAGACTGTGAACGGGGAATATCCTCTTAAAATTACAGTCTTTTAGCTTTTCTGGCTTGCGAGTTAGCGACTTATCTGCAAAAAAATTTCACGGGCCCGTATGTGAGTACCACGTGGATAAGAGCGCCCATTTTCGGGATTGGGGCCCGTACGTGCATGCAGATTAATTTCCCAAAGTTTCAGTCCTGTAGCTTTTGTAGGTCTTGAGATGAAAAACCGTGACAGACGCACATACAGATACACACTCACACAGACAATCCCTCGCCAATATATTGCAGAGCTACAAAAAATGCATAAAAAATAATCTGTCCACGTTTCACCCCGCCTAAGTTGTACATATAAATACCTGGGAAAATTAGGTTCAAAACGTTTCTTTGTGTCGTAATTTTTACGTTCAGGATAATTTTATGATTTCAAAATAGCTAATAAGGAAATTGAAATTTTTTATTTTCTGTAGTGCAGGTGAGCGGCTCTGAGTCGGATTTCGTAATGCATTCTTTCCTGATCTATACCTTTTCCGTCCAAAATGCAACGGTTCTTAGAGCAGTAAATGGAAAAAGCGACGAATATGAAGTTTTGATGCTTTTCATGCTTTTTTCTCAGGAGAGCTCTTAAATGTACTTCGACATTCACGCACTGCAGCAGCTAGATGCAAAAATGCATTAGTGCATCGGGCACGCACTTTCTGCGGCAATTACTATAACTCGGCTCGGCCGACGCCATACATGACTTTTCTTGGCGACAGCGGGTGCAGCCACCCCCACAGTGAGTGGAGGGATTTAAAGTGTGCCAGTTGGGAAGAGGGGTGTGCTGTGGGTTCGTTCGAGACAGATGAAGGAATTGGGATAGACGGACTTGATGGCTACACGGTATAGATTTTTTGCCGGTTGGCTAGGAAAAATACGTTCGGAAGGGAGGGATAGAAAGGGGACGATGTTGGAAATGAGGAGCAAGAATGCTCGAGGCAAGAACTGGAGAGAGCTATAAAGAGAAAAGAACAACACAACAAAGAAAAGTAAGTTGAAGCAAACGAAGTCTATGAATAGAAGTAAAAAAAGAAAATTTGAAGAAATGAGAACAGAAAAAAGCAAAATAAAGGAAGATGGAAACTGTACTATAAAACCTGTCGTCAATAGCGGACTTCCCCATTTATTAAGCTAACGCTTAGGTAAAGCTGAGGGCGAATAAGATAAAGCTGCGTGGGTAAAGTTGTCAGCTCTCAGCTTCTCCTAAGCATAAGCATCATAATTTGGAAAGCCCATTACTGTGGGTGGGTTTTTGTAAGAAAATTTCCACCCGCATAAGTTTGTTTGCCTTTGACTTTTATTCACATGTTCCGACTTTTTGATTTCGCCTTTTTTGTCATTTTTCATAAGCTCAGTTCTCCTTTAATTAACTTTTCTTTATACCGCTGTGTTGTCTCTTTCTCTTTACTGCTTTCTCCAGTTCTTACCTCGAACTCCTGACTGCCGCTCTTGTCCCGCTTCTCTATGCTCTCCCCAACCCGTGCCCTCGGAGCTACAAATGGGCACCCACCAACCACCACTACCCCTCAACCACATGCAACCCTCTCACCCGTGCCAAACAGTTCCGGTAAGTGACGCAGCGACGTAGCGTTAGCAGAGGAGCTAAAGCGTTGCTCAGTGGCGGTCAAGTCGAAGCGAGGTTAGTAACTGCTCTTTCTGCCTGTCCCAGAACAGCACCGTCAAACAAGGATCTTCCAGTTACGGTGAGGCAGGAAGAGCTCAGTTCGCAATAATGATATGCTGACAAGAAACGGGGTATATTCGCTGCAAAAGCACTAAATTA